CCCGTGCAGAGCTGGGCAGGCTGTCAGGGGACACAAGCAGCAGCTCGCGGCCACTGCTGTGACTCTGCTCTCACTTGGAGCCCCAGACTGGCTAACACCAGCTGACCATCCCTCTGTGGTCCACAGAGGAGGCTGAGCAGTATCCCTCACCTGCAGTGTCACCCAGCTTTGCAGAACATCTCCCCAGGGAGTCCTGCCCACAGCCCCAGCTTGTGACCAGGAAGCCCTTCAGGCCACACAGCCACAGAGGAGCAGGGGGCTGGCACCACAAGGAGACACCCCTGAGCAGACCGCCAAGGGCCGCAGGGCTCATGGAGGCCAGGAAGCCCCACGGGTGACAGCTCCCGCTGACAGACACTCACCTTTTTTTGCTGGGAATGACCCCAATCTGCTCGCTCTCGCCATGGGGCGTGACAAGCCTGGCTTGCCACCACTCATCGTCGGAGGCATTGATGACGTGCAGGATGTCCCCGTAGGAGAAGCTGAGCCCCTGGCTGGGCAAGCAACTGTCTCGGGTCCGGTCGTAGTCAAACAGAGCTCTGCAAAGGAGCAAGGAGAGGGCTGAAGGCCCCAAAAATGGCCAGGCAGAGCATGGGCACTACCACCTTCATACCTTAAAGGATTTAAACCCAAACTTTGGGGAAGCCTCCTGGCAAGGCGAGCGGTGCCGCGCAGCCCCCAGCACAGCCCTCCCACTGGCAGGCTCAGCACAAGCCCCAGAGCGTGCGATACAGGAACAGCGCTGGACCAAAACAGCTCACCCTCGACCTCAGCTGCGAGAGGCACACGAACCACAGATGTAGCAAAGGCGGCTGTGGTTAGCGAGCGGGCGAAGCTCACACGGCCTCAAGAAAGCAGCGGCATGGCAAGAGGGCAGAGGGGAGGCAGGGCTGCTTCCCACCATCCCTCCCCTGGGGCTGTGGAGCCAAGGAGTGGGATAGGGGACGTCAGACCCCACTGCTGGGGGACAGTTGCACAGGCAGAGACTGCAAGGCACTTGGAGCACACACTTTATTTACATAGAGGGGTGCAGTAGTGCAGAGCCTGTGAATTAGGAACTCATCTGAGGGTATATATACATCTGCTGCCACAACTGGTCCTTTTCAGACACCTAAACACTTCCCCAGAGAGCAGTTTATTTAGTTGAAAATTATCTTCAACATTAAGCTAACCAGCTACAGATTTTTTTTAAACCAGAGAAGCACTAATACCCTTCCTGCATGCACTTTATCACACACAGCACTGCAGCCCCTACCCACAAGCTGCTCTCAGTGGCTTCAAGTGCAGCTTATTTTACTCATGTCAGACCTCAAACCGTGTCTGCTTTGATATATCTGGTTTGCAACAAACCAAACCAAGGGAACGGTCACTAAAAGCACTGCTGCTGGCAGCACAACCCCCGCGCTTGCTCCTGGGACATTGGCCCCGCTCGTCCCCCAGCCCAACACAAGCCCGGGCACCACAAACACTCTCTGGATGCTGGTTTAATCCTGGCACTAAGGAGCCTTCCTCCACCAGGAAAGACACCTTCTGCCCGGCTCATTATCCACTTCTGCTGCAGGGACCCCTAAGCGGGTCTGCAAGCACCAGCTGAGGGACGGTGCAGCAGGTCCCCATGGCACAGCAGAGGTGGGAGAGCACTCCAGATCCCTGCTCCAGCAAGGCCAGGGGAGCACCATGCAATGAAACCCTTCGGGTCACTTGGGACTGGGTAAAGGCAGTCGGTCTTGAATGGAGAGGAAGAGAAGAGGGGCTGTCCTACAGCTCTGGGAGGGCTCTTTGGGAAGAGACCCAATGCAGCCTTATGTGTCCCGGTACCTCCAGCCACCACATCATTCCCACTTTCCCAGCTTGCCCAGGGCTGTGACAGCTCTTGCATTCAGTTCCTCTGCACCCCTGGCTTGCTGGAGCCGGCAGCAAAGCACCATAGGGTGCCTTGGCTGGAGGTGAGCAACACTTGGCAGCCTGTGGCCAAAAGATAAGCCTGTGCATGGCTGGCAGGCCCCTGCGAGGCCAGCACCATCGAGCAAAGCACAAGCCAAGGCCCGCAGGAACTGGTCAGGCCGGTTCCTGAACCCAGGCGGCCTGCCCACACCTCGCACCCTGCCCTGCCGAGCAGCACTGGCCCAGTGGCTCCCTGCCTCCTCCCACCACCGCCACTGGCATCGCAGGGCGGGCACAGCAGGATTTGTGCAAGGGCTGGACACCTGCGGAGCAGAGGCACCAGGCATTTCCTTCCCCAAGGCACGATGCTCCTGGAGACCAGCCCCAGCCCTGATGGCACCCAGGGCCCTCCACGGCAGGGTGCCCCCCAAGGCACAGAGGCAGCGTGGTCACAGCACAAGCAGTGGATTTGGCTGGAGGGCAGGGGAGCAGCGCCAGGGACCCTGCATGGGCTCCTTCCCACACCCAGGCACATCACCCTGTGACCCCCATCCCCACACGGCACCGTGCCAGGATGCCGGCGGACTTTGCTCTGCGGCAGCGCGCAGACCTGCCTCGCCCCTGCCTGTGCTGCAGAGCTGCAGCTCCAAAACACGTGGTGAATGTCAGCACCCCCAAATCATCTCTGGCCAGCAATCAGGTACCCCACTGACAGCACACAGGGTGCAAGGTAGTCTCACAGGGCTGACTCAAGCAGTCGGATAGCAAGTCCTGTAATTGATGCCCTGTCCACAGTGCAGCAGCTCAGCTGGTTTCGGGTAGACTGCGTTCGAAACTACCCCGCCCAGAAGGGCTGGAGCAGCCCAGCAGCTCTCGCAAGCGCGTTCGTGGGGTGTGCGGCTGCCAGAGCCAGGCAGGGTCAGGAAGGGCTGTGCTGGGGGAAAGCTCTCTCCTGGAATCACCCTCAGCTTGGTGCTCCCCAGCTCCACCTGAGCGTATGTGAGGGGACACAGCACAGCAGAGGCCACCAAAGCCACGTGGAGGGATGCAGAAGATACAAGATTCTACAAGCAGTGTGGAGGCAGCGGGGAGCTCTCTGGCTCCCAGGCATGTCCCAAAACACGAGGAACCTATCCAGGCAGGGAACAGGAAACCCCTAGGCTTGACTCAAGCTGGACCTGCTCCAACCATGAGGGTATCCATGGGACAGCAGGGGAGCAAAGGGCAGGACTAGTGAGATGTCACCCAGCTTGTTGTGCACCCCCAGCACGGAGCCCTGAGATGCTAAATCAAGCAAGATACATGCAGAGCCTTGCAGGAAGGCAGGAACTGCAGGAACTCAGAGCTGCAGCTCTCCCCTCCTGCCAGGCCAGGCTCGCACCGGGTCCAGCAACAGCCCAAAGCCCCTCTGCATAGAGCAGTCATGCTGTGGCAGATGCCTTGCCAGCCTTCCCATGGGGAAGGAGAAGCATCCCCTGCTCCTGCCAGCCCCCATCTGCAACAGGCTGCACAGGGTGAGGATTTACAAGGTTATTTTAATTACCAAGGCAAAATTACTCATTAGCCGTCACCCGACTTGCGCTGTGGTGGGCAGGAGGTGGCAGGAGGCAGGCTGTGAGCAGAGGCTGCCTCGGCAGCACAGGACTCTCAGCAGTAAGAGCTGCATGGCTGCTTAACCCCTGCCTGCCCCACGCCTGGCTGCGGACCAAAAGCACATCAAAGGCTCAGAGCGATAATCTTCCTAAGAGCTCATCTCTCCTCCAGCCAGATCCTGCCGCAGGAGGAGACAGCGAGAAGCCTGTTAGCGGGGAGCGGTTTGAGAAAAGTACCCTGAACCCTGTCCCGAACTGCCTAGGGCAGAAGTGGTGCTGGATGCTAGGCATTTCCCCATTTCCCAGTGGTCCCCAGTGGGTTGGCCTGGCCAGCAGCCACCCAAGGCTCTATAGAGACACAAGAGCTTTCCAAAGCAGAGCAGCTCTTGCAAGAGGCACTCGAGTGCAGAGCACCCAGCCGTGACAAACCAGTGAAAAAGCACTGCTCTCCCTGCTGCACCCTCCAGGCTTCACCATGCATCCATCACACTCCCTTCCCCAGCCCCCACAACACCCGTCCACAGAGGTGCTGCATGGCCCAGGTGGAACCATCCCATCCCACATCCTTGGATGGAGCAAGGGGGCAGGCGGGCAGGGCTGAGCCTTACCGAACATAGAGAGATCTCTTCTCACTTGTCCGGAGTGAGCCGGAGCCGGAGCTCATGCTGCTGTTCATCATCTGCTCTCTCAGGTCATGGATCTTGGACTCAAAGCGGCTGTACTCTGCGGGGAGAGAGGTGGTCAGTGCAGGTAAGAGCTGCCGCCGAGGCACATCCCACACTGAGCACGGTGTGACTGGTGAGCGCCGAGAGAGGCCTGGCTGTGGGGCATCTTGCCCACGAGCCTGGCAGTCCACGCACATGAGAGAGGACAAAGCCAAAGAGGTTGCAGCACCCTGTGGGAGACCCTCTCCCAAAGGCTGGGGCAGCAAAGCACTGCTGCCATTACTGGGGGTCCCGACCCACGGCTCTGCCAGCAGCAGAGCCCCTCTCCCCAGCAGGCATGGGAAAGGTGGACACAAAGCATGGCCCTTGTCCACAGAAGGGGAGTGGGGAGGAGGAATTCACCTTTCATTCCTACATCCTGGTGGCAGAGACCCTCAGGAGAAGCCAGGGGACCCTCCAAAAGCTGCTGCTGCCGCCGCCACCTCCCTGCCAGGCGAGGGACAGCAGCAGCCACGGGCGCCCCCCGCCGCGCCAGCCCGACCTTCAGCCAGGTGTAAAGGTCGGGCAGCGAGCAGAGGGTGGAGGCACCAGCCCTGCTCGCTCAGGGCCTAGCAGGGACAGTTTGCTGGGCAGCGAGCAACTGCAGCAACGTGGCACCAGGGAAGCCGCCAGCATCACCACAGCCCACCCTGGCCATTCTCACCCAGTGCCCTTGGCTTTTTCCCCCTGGGCAGTCACATCCCCATGTCTTGGTGAGAGTGGATCAGCACCATCTCTGCTGTAAGACTTGCCCAGAAAGCCTTCTCCACCACCCAGTCGTTTAGATGTGGTTTGGGCTTGGGGTTATTTTGTGAAGCAGAGCACAGCAGCTCAGCGGCAGAGGCAGGGACTCACTGCAGATCGCTGGTGACCCCCAAAACTGCATCGCACAAGGGGAGCGGGAACTGCTAAGAAACACACTGCAGGTTGTGTTTGAGAGCCAGCCCCTCATCCTGCAAGGCAAGAGGCGACTCTCGGTGCAGACACCCACGGGGCTGGGGTTATGGGGTTACACAGCTGCAGCTCAGTGTTTCCTGACCCTCCAGCCCTTTGCTCTGCAGCTGGACCTGCCTGAGCATCCCCTCCTGCACCCAGCTACAAGAGATGCACTTTTACTTAAAGACAAAAAAAAAAAGGTGATATGCACAAAACCCACCAAGCAGCACACAAACTTCACAGCCCCTTTCCTTGTCGTAGGGTATCACGAGGTGCCACATGCCAGACAGGGTCAGCCACTTAATTTGGAGGTCACCAGAACCCCATCAACCCTGGCCGCCTCACGTCCCACTGCCCCTGCCTGCCTTCTGTGAGCAGAGGGCAACGCAGCAGCAGCCAGGCACGGGCAAGGCTTATTTTATAAGAAAACTGTATTCTGACACCAAAGCAGCACTTTGGGACTTGGCAACTTGTACCAGGGTTTTACAGAGCTTCTGGCAGAGCGAGGTGAGCTTCATCCTGCTCCGTACCTCTCACCCCACACTGGGGTGGACCACAGCATCTGCAGTGCAGTTCATTCTGCCACAGGATGCCCATGAGCTCCTACATCCCAGAGGAGCATCCATGAGAAGTGGGAACAGCAGCTCCGTAAACCCTCTTTGGTAAGGAAGGGCTATTTCCCCTGGAAAGCTGCTGAGCTGGGTGCTACAACCCCCATCCCCAGTCAAGTCATCCCAAACCCCACGGGGGGCACAGACTCTGCACACTCCACACCGAAAGGACCACCACTCCCCGCCACGTGGGCTCACGCCCCTCCTGGAACACCCTTCTCCACAAGCCTGGCATGGAGGATGCACTGGGATTGGGCTTACAGCAAAGGGTAAAAGCAGGTTTAGCCACCGCTGGCATCAGGATGGGGATGTCGGGAGGGCACCTTTTGGGTGTCACTGCCCTGCCTGCAACCCAAGGGCAGAGCTCTCAACACCACCGCCTCGGCTGGGGCACTCTGCAGAAAGGCACTTGCCAAATTTTGCTGGAGTGACCATGCTGCTCGGAGGGGCTGGGAAAAGCCCACTGGCACACCAAGATGCAGAAGCCAGGTTGAATGCAGCAAACTGGAGAAGGACCCAGGGGCTGCTCTGCCTTTACCCCCGGAGAGCAAATGCAATCCTGTCTTAGGAAGGGCATCTCAAGAGCCACCAGCCCATGCTCGCTCCAACTGCAGGAAGGTGCAGGGCAGAGGTGCAGACAGCCCCAAAAGCAAAGCCACCACCTCCTCAGCATTCCCACAGGATCCAGGTGCTGGACGTCCTCAGGTCACGCTTATCAAGACCGAAAACTATGCAACAGGTGATTCGGCGCCACTTGCCACGAGTGCCACCATGGTGCTGCGCTGCGTGCCAGGACGTTTGCGATTCCCACTCAGCAACTCGATAAAAACACTGCTCCACCCATCCCAGGGCGAGCTCAGCTCTGGGACCAGGATGCGGCCCTGCGCGCCCGAGCAGACCATTAGGATCAGGCAGGGATCGCCTGCCTGCACCCAGGATCCCCAGCACTGGCACACACCGGTGTGGGGCAGCTGCAAGTACACCCAGAGGAGCCAACAAGACAGCAGGGCTGCAGTCCATTTCTGGGCACCGGGAGAAGGCACAACCCCTAAGCACGCATAAAGCCTCGTGCGCGCACCCTGTTCTCTCCCGCACGCAAACCCGCTTGCCCAGGGCCATCAGCAGAGCCCAGGGCTGCTCAGCCACGGGCTCTAGCCCAGCCACCTGCAAAAACTACCCTCAGAGCCATCCTTCCCCTCCAGCCCAGCATTTTATCACCCTGGCCCTGTACGCCTTCCAGCTGCAGGGTTAAAGTACAGATATCTCCCTGCACAGGGCCCGCGTGCTGCAGGCCCCAGCAAGGGGAGGAGAGCACGGCCACAGGGAAAGCCTGGAGGTTTTTAAAAGTCACCACATGGCCCTGGCGCTTCCCTTTCAGCGGCCAGCTCACAGAAATGCCGTCGTGCAAGTTTTTGTATTTTTAGCTGAAGAGTATCAACACTTTGTTGCATGGGGCGTGAGGAGGGGGAACAGCCAAACTCAAGCGCTGGTGACAGCAGCAGGCAAAGGTCAGGGAGAGAAGTGGTCAGAGAAGGGACCTCACAAGCAGCTCAGAGGCACCATCACAGAGAGCAGCCTCCTCCTCCCCAACGAAATGCAGTGGTCAAAGGTGCTGCACCAGGCGCAGGTGCTCAGAAAGGCAGGACAGCAGCTCCTTTTCCTATCCTTCCCTGCTTTTGTCTTTGCTTCTTTCCACTCCTGGTGTCTGGTCCCCCACAAGGACAGCACCCCATCCCCCGAGACCTGTGGAAGCGGCCTCTCTGCTCCTTCTGAGTCCCAGCAAGGTCAGATGCAGAGCACGCGTGTGCTCATCCAGCACCCCATGGGTGAGCCCTACCTGTGCTCACCTAGGAGATGGGTGCCATCCTCTGCCTCTGCTAGCAGAAAGCAACTTCTCAAAGCCCCTTTCCACCAGCATCTTCTCCTCCGGGCATTCTACAATCCAGCTCTCCTGCTCCTTCCACAGTCATGATACACATAGAAAAGGCAAGCATTTGGGAGCACACATCCTCTCAAGGGGACCCAGTCTTACTCGCACCTAGGGCTCATGTCCAGGAGCTCTTTCTCCTTGGCTCCCAGGCCTTCAAAGCCTCTGGAGTGCTGAGGTCAGCTCCCAGGACGGCTGCAGCCCATGTCCCGGTGCTGCTGCCCTTGTGTGCCAGGAACCATGGCAGACCTGGAAAACCACTGGCTACAAAGCCCTGACATCTCAGCCTTGGCATAAAGGGGTTTCAAAACGTTTTGTCCTGTTTGACATTTAGGAACCGCTAAAAAAAAAACCTCAAGTGGCAAAGGAAGCAAAAAATAAAAGAAAATTAATTCTTTCCTGGAAAAAAGGGGAAAAAAAAAAAGCCAAAACAAACAAACCTCACACCCACAGCACACCCAGGAGCGGCACTAACGGCGGGGACGAGGAGGCGCAGTTGGGACAGGGACCCGACCGTGCCCCCAAGGGGGCACAAGGCCAAGGGCAGCCACGGGGGGACACGCTGGCCTCGGGGGAAGAGGCCCAGGGCTGCTCGGGGAGAAAACCACGGTCACCGGGGTATGGGAATGGCTGCACCCCGGACACGGTAACAGCGCAGCAGCAGCGGTGGCCCAGCCCCC